CAACAACAAGCTTATAAGTGTACTATGTACTAATTCTTGTACTAGACAAACAATGAATTGATGTCAATGGAAAGTTTAGGTATAACTTTTCCAACAAAATGCTAATGACATCTCTCACTTCATTACTAAATTGTACAACACCATGACAAGATGACTGACCATTGTTTCAATCCCAAAATTTGAGAGCCTTGGCAATTTTCCCAAGAGACTCTAATTATCTGATACAAAATTCATTCTCTACTGAAGTGGTTACGAATCAGGCTGCGAACCTCAAGGTCAGCAGTTCGAAACTACCAGCTGTCCTGTGGGAGAAAGATGAGGCTTTCTGCTCCCATAAAGATTTACAGCCTCGGAAACCCTGTACAGGGTTGCTATGAGTCAGAACTGACTCTACGACACATAACAACAACAACTGAAGTGATGGTTCTATACCCACTCTTGTTCATTTTCTCTCTCTGAAGTGTAAAGTGACCTAACTTTCTGATGTCCATATTTATATATTTTTTGAGTATTTGTTTCAGGTGAAGGTTTACACAGCAAATTAGATTTCCATTCAGCAAGTCATACACATAGTGTTCCATGACATTGATTGCCATCCCTGCAATGTATCAGCACTTAACATTTCCAGCCTGCCTGCCCATCTCCATCCATCCAGTTTCTTTGCCCTTCCTTACCTTTTCATCTTGGCTTTGGGGTCAATATTAACCTTTACTTTTTTAAAGGAGACCATTCCTCACAGGTGTCATTGTTTATCAACAAATCTTTTCTTTTTCTGAAGGGAGACCTCCAGGAAGTGACTTCAATTTCCAGTTAAGTGGTTATCTTAGGGCAACAGTCTTGGGGGTTCCTCTAGTCTCTACTAGTCCAGTATGTCTGTTTCTTTCTTTCTTTTCTTTCCTTTCTCTCCTTCCTTTCTTACTGTTTTATTGTGACTTATGTGATAGTTTACAACGGAGAACATAGGCTTTACATTCATCCTATCATATATCGTTTCATTGCCATGGTTACAATCCCCTCCATAAACCAACCAAAAGGTACGCCCCGCAAGCCTGCCCCCTGGTCGTCAGCACACAGCCCCTCTCCCTCTCTGGGTCTTGAGTCCCCAGCTGCTCCATCTCTCCACATCATCGTCTGTGCCTCCATCTCTGACATCACTGTTTCTCTGGGTAGGGTCCCACACTCTGCTCTTCTCCCTTGATGATACCAGGGACCTCCGCTCCTGGACTACGAAGTCAATCATTCCCCTCCTTTTGCTTCAAAAGGTCTACTTTTACATTTCCAACCCTCACAGTCAGTCCTGATAGTAATTATTCACTACTGTACTCTTTTTTATGAATTGGAGTTCTGTTCTACATTTCTAATTCACCCAGGACCTTCTATTGTATTTCTGATCAGATGGTTGTTGGTAGTAGCCAGGTACCTTCTAGTTCTTCTGGTGTCAGGCTATGAGACGCACGTGGACCAATTGTTTCCTTGAATTTTTGTTTCCTTCATTCACCTTTGTTCCACATGGGACGAGACTAATAGTTACACCTTGTCGTTGTTGCTTAGTGTTGTTGGGTCACTTCCGACTCATAGCGACCCTGTATAGGGTTTATGCAGAGCGGCTGGTGAGCTTGAACTTCCGACCTTACAGTTCAAGCCGATGTTGCAGTCCAGCACATTAATCCGCAGTGCTATACCAGGACTCTACTAGTCCTGGTGTCTCTTCCATGGTCTGTATTTCTGTAGCATCACCCTCCTCCCATCTTGAAATCATATACTTCATGGACAAACAGCAAGAGAGGCCAAACAAAACTATTGAAAGGGTCTGGATTACACACCCCTGAATTAAACAGGAATATATGAGAAGATCCCGTGGCAGAAGAGAGACTGTGTGTGTAGCACGTCTGGATCATGTGATGTGGCAATATGACTATGTTATTGATTTTATTTGGAGAATGCTGTTAAGTGCCGTAGAACCAGTTCCAACTTATAAGCGACCTGTGTAGGGTTTCCAAGCATCCACTACTGAGTTTGAACCACCAACCTTGTGGTTCAAAGTGACCTTGCAGTCCAATGCTTTATCCCACAGCACCACACCAGGACTCCTTATTTGGATACTAAGTATGGTTTGAGGAGATGTGTGTGGATGTCACACTAATACATTTTTCCATGGGACCACTGGAATGGGTTGTAAGCAGCGAGTTCCTTAGTAAATATCACAGTGTTTAGAGTCAGTGTGGCCCGGTTGAATGCCAGTGGTCCTTTCTCCCCAAGTCTAAACTGACCCAGGAATAAAGTTCTCACTGGCCGCTCCTTGGAAACCCTATACGGGACACTGTGAGTTGGAACCGGCTTGATAGGATTTAACAACAACAATAACAAGCTCCCAAATGGCCCCACATCACCAGATTACGAAAGCTACTGCCATCATCTCTCCTATTCATCACTCTCCCGGTCTTTCTGCTCTCCTATACATTGAGTGCTCCTTGGAGGCCAGGATGGCCAAACATCGTCTCTCATACTTCAGACACATTGTCAGGAGGGACCAGTCACTGGAGATGGACATCATATTTGGTAAGGTGGAGGGTCAGAGAAAAAAAGGAAGACCCCCGATGAGATGAATTGGCCAAGCGGCAGCATCGATGGACTCAATACGTGGCAACAGTGGTGAGGTTGGCCCAGGACCGGGCACTGTTTTGTTCTGCTGTGCATAAGGCCGCTATAAGTAGGTACCAACTCTATGGCACCTAACAACAACAACATGTAAAGGAAACCCAACCTAGGGAGCAAGCAACTTCGTTACATCACTTACAATATTTAGCTGTGCAACTCTACCCTTCATCAACGCAGTCTTTCCATCACCATTCATCTCCCCTCCCTCCCACCCCGATAACCAGTAATAAACTTTGTTCTCTATACAGTTGCCTTTACTTGTCTGTTTATATGAGGTCATGTAATACTTGCTCTTTAGTGATTGACTTATTTCCCTCAGCATAATGTCTTCCAGCTCCATCCAAATGGTAGCATGTGACAATACCCCATTTCTTCCATTGGCTGAATACATGGCTCTTACATGTACCAAGAAGCTCTGGTAATGTAGTGCTAACCCCAAAGTTAGCAGTTCGAAACT